AAGTCCAGACTCACCCACATCTGCAGAGTGGACCTGAAGTGAGTAAATATAGCTGACTGACTCACTCATACACACAAATAGAATTCTCTGACTGTAACTGCATTGTTCATAGAAATCCATACACGTCAGTGTGGTCACGTCCTGCACTTTTTTTTTTCAGGGGGAGAACTCCGGACTGGTATAACAAAGCATTCGGACACCTTTGCGCCGCTGAAGCTGCTCGTATTCGCAATTCCTTCCAGCCAATCCACACAGAGGGTCCAGAAACAAAAATTTGAGCCCCGTTATCATCCTGGAAACAGAAATCTCAGTTCTGTGACTCTATAAACCCAGAGATATGTCTGCCCTTTTGCACAATGGGCAGAGTTGCCTGGTCTGGGTAATAAACCCAAATGGGAATGTTCGTCAACTTACCAATGTACCTTTGGCTTGTTAATTTTTTATATTATCTTATTGTAACTATTGTTATTTGTATTATAATTAATTATTTTATTCTTTCATATGATCTTATACAATGTATAGGACACCTAAGCTCTTAAGTGCTTCTGGGAAGCATATATTTTATTTAATTAACAAAGAAATCTATATTTGCACATGCATGCACTGCATGTCCATGTATGTGTTTGTTTGTATTTGTGTGTATCTACACACACATCTTGTATAGACTATATATATATATTTAAATGCTCATGTAGTATAAATATTATGTATACATGTGTCTGATATCTCCTCTTTGCACAGATATCAGTTTAATTCATATGGTACAAAATGTTACTCTGTTTGTCCATGAATGGGTGTAATATTATGGAATTTTCACTTGCTTGTTTTTAAGGATTGACAAAATGACTTGGGTTTGATTTTCTCAGACCTGCTTTTATAGTACTGGATTACATTAATGATAAAGAGATGATGATTTTTAATTAAACTTTGTCAATGAATTAATATTAATTTGTTTACTGTCTATTTGATGCTTATTTTCTTCCTATCATCTACATGATTATTGATATAATATCAGTTTTTCATAACAACAATAATACCATAACCATAATCAAAATCATACACTACCTGGTCAAAAGTTTGGGGTCAGTAAGATGTATTATTATTATTATTATTTTAAAGAAATGAATACCTTTATTCAGCAAGGATGCATTAAATTGCTCAAAAGTGACAATATGACCATAAAGACATTTATAAATATTATAATAAAGATTATTTTGTAAAGACTATTTTAAATAAATGCTGTTCTTTTGAGCTTTCTATTAATCAATTCATGAAGAATTTTTTTTTTCACAAAAATATTTAGCAGCACAACTGTTTTTAACCAATAATAACAAGAAATGTTTCTTGAGCACCAAATCAGCACATTAGAATGATTTCTGAAGGATGTGACACTTAAATTATATTAGCACAATTGTAATAAATTGTAATATTAATATTATTGTAATATTACACATTATTACTGGTATCTTTGACCAAATAAACGCATTCTTTGTGAGCATAATAGACATTTTTCAAAAGCATTAATAAATGTTAATGTCCCAAAACTTTTAAATGGTAGTGTGTAACTCAATGACAATAAATTAAGAGTGATTTTTTTAATTTAATTTTATTATTATTTTTTCCACCTGCATTTGCTTAAAGGGGTCATATGATGTTGCTAAAAATAACATTATTTTGTGTATTTGGTGTAATGAAATGTTTATGCGGTTTAAAGTTCAAAAACACATTATTTTCCACATACTGTACATTATTGTTTCTCCTCTATGCGCTGCACACATCTGAATATTTGGGTTGAACTGTTCTGGAACAGTGTTGTAAATACAACTTAACCACTGATTTCTAGTCGTGTCCTCTTTTGGAAGACTAAACACAGTAGTTTCGCTTTCACAACGAAAAGCACGGCGGGCTTGAGTGAGCAGAGGCGGGCGGGCTTGAGAACGGTGCGGCCGGCGGATTCGAGAAAGGAGCGTCTGGCGGGCTTGCGCCAACCACATGTGACGACCCCGGGCTGGACTCCGCTTCGTCCACGGGGAAAGCCGATTCGGCGATCCACAGCGCAAAGTTGATGTATTCCCTCAGCGAACAGCACGGATCAGCTCTAGGCATGACGAAGCGGATATCGTCCTCTTTTGGAAGACCAAACAAAGTAGTTTCGCTTTCACAACGAAACACACAGCGC